AGATATAACCAGACTGCTTTAAAACATTGAGGTTGTTTTTGTTTTTTTAGAGACAGGCTTTTACTCTCTTGCTCAGGCTGGAGTGCAATGGCATGATCACAGCTCACTACAGCCTCAAACTCTGGGGGTCAAGTTGTCCTCTTGACTCAGTGACCTAAGTAGCTGGGGCTGTAGGTGCACTCCACCGTGCCTGGCTAATTTTTTGTTTTGTTTTGTTTTTTGTTTTTTCTTAGAGACTGGGTCTGCCTTTGTTGCCCAGGTTGGTCTTAAACTTCTGGCTTCAGGAGATCCTCCTGCCTTTGCCTCCTAAAGCACTAAAGCACTGGGATTACAGGTGTGAGCCACTGCACCAGCCAAGGTTTACTTTATAGAGCTGATAAAAAAGATTGGGAAGATTGACTCGCCATTGCAGAACAATCATGTATTTGGGTCATATTTAGGTCAATATCTCACATCATAAGGAAGGTTCATTCCTAAGAAGTTGAGTCCAATGGAGGGGGTAATATTACAAAGGACCAAAGCTGAATTTTAAACAAGAGAGAAGTGATCCTGGAACCTGTTTCAGACTACATGACTGTCCCTTTGATCAAAGCAATTCCTTGAGCAATCATTGTTCAAAGATTCCCTAACAAGGTTCCTGACCTTGCAATAAGTAAAAAATGTCACTTTCTCACAAGCCCAGGAACCTCAAGATATTTTGGGGACTTCAGGAAGAGAGGATTTCACCCAATGCATACAGGTATTATGGGAACAGTCTGATGATGGATCCTTGGCTTGTCTTCTTAGCCTCAAGGCTTTTAAAAGTCTAATCCAAAATTCCTTATGAATGTTCCAACAAAACCAACTTAAAAGAGCCTAGGTGGCCACTCACTATTCTTATTGCCCCCTAGGCAAATAATCAGGCCAAATATATTACTAAAACTTATTTTGCAAGTTCACTGCGAGCCAGTCATGGTGGCTCACACCTATAATCATCGCTCTGTCATCCAGGCTGAAGTTCAGTGATGTGATTACAGCTCACTGCAGCCTTGACCTCCTGGGCTCAAGCAATCTTCCCACCGCAGCCTCTTGAGTAGCTGGGACTATAGGTGCACACTACCAAGTCTAATTAATTTTTCAATATTTTGGAGAGATGAGGTCCCACTAGGTTGCCCAGGCTGGTCTCAAACTCCTGGGCTCAAGCAATCCTCCCACCTCAGTCACCCAAAGTGCTGGGATTATAGGTATGAGCCACCACACCCAGCAGTATCATATTCTTTATAACAGAATCCCAATGAATTGAAAGCTGTGAAGTTTACTTTGCTTCTTATTTTAGTTTTAAAAACTGTAATCATGGTTTAAGTTATAACAGTGCTATAAGGTTTTTTTGTTTTCAAACATTCTGTTGCATTTTGTTCCAGGTTAGGAAAACCATTCTTGGGAGAGCAGTATGTGCAATGGATTATATGATGGTGTAGTAGTCAAGGCTCTTGTTTATAAAAAGCGGGTATCAGTCTAGGCAACAAAAGGTGAGACCCCTGTCTCTAAAAAACATTTTAAAATTAGCTGGGTGTGGGGGCACATACCTGTTGTCCCAGCTACTTGGGAGGCTGGAGCGGGAGGATTGATTACTTGAGCCCAGGAAGTCGAGCCTGCAGTAAGCCACGATCACGCCGCTGTACTCCAGCCTGAGTGACAGAGCAGGACCCTATCTCAAAAAAATAAAAGATATCACTTATCAACTTCGGCTGACTTAAAAGAAGTATTGGATAGGTGATAAAATCTTTAGGATGACTTAAGAAAACTAGGCTTAGAAAAGGCCAGGAACAAAAGGAGGTTGGCCACACAGCCAAAAACCGTATCACAGAATCCATCTAGCAAGGACACAGTTTGCATAGCTAGCAATGCTGTCCCTGGACATTGCCACTTTATTTGTGCCGGGAGCTTGATCCTGCTGTAAGAAATTACCACTTCTTCACTTCTCTGCACCACCAGCTTCAGATTCAAAATCTCAGGCAGATGTATCTGACAAAGAATATGATTATATGCCTTCATCCTAGCTTCCAGTAAAGCTGATCTGTCTAGTGGTAGACAGGGTTCAAAAGTGGAAATGTCCTCAAAGCAAAGGGTTTCACATGCAAAATGTGATCATCCAAATATAAAAACAATTTTTTTTTTTTTAAGACGGAGTTTCGCTCTTGTTGCCCAGGCTGGAGTGCAATGGTGCGATCTCGGCTTACCGCAACTTCGCCTCCCAGGTTCAAGCAATTCTCCTGTCTCAGCCTCCCGAGTAGCTGGGACTACAGGCATGCACCACCACGCCTGGCTAATTTTGTGTTTTTAGTAGAGACAGGGTTTCTCCATGTTGGTCAGGCTGGTCTCAAGCTCCTGAACTCAGGTCGTCCACCTGCCTTGGCCTCCCAAAGTGCTGGGATTACAGGTGTGAGCCACTGCGCTGGCCAAAAAACAACATTTTTAAAGCCGTTTGTAAGGGAGCATAATTTTTTTGTAAGCCAAAAAAATGTTTAGTAATCTGACGAATGTTTTGCTGCTATTGATAAGAATCTTTTAATGAGGTTCTTAAGAGTGTCAGATTTTAATCAGCATGTCCAGAGTTTGAATGCTGTATTAGGACATTTTACATTGCTATGAAGGAATACCTGAGGCTGAGTGACTTATTTTAAAAAAGAGATTTAATTGGCCCAGGGTTCTGCAGGCCGTGTAGGAAGCATGGGGCTGGCATCTGCTCCTGGTGAGGGCCTCAGGAAGTTTACAGTCATGGTGGAAGGTGAAGGGGGAGGAGGCACATTACATGATGAGAGCAGGAGCAATTGAGGGTGGGAAGTGCCACACTTTTAAACAGCCAGATCTCAGGTGAGTGACAACTAAACTCATTACCATGAGGACAGCACCAAGCCATTCATGAGGGATCTGCTCTGATGACCCAGACACCTCCCACTAGGCCCACCTCCAACATTGGAGGTCACTTTTCTTTTTTATTCTATTTTATTTTTTATTTATTTATTTATTTATTTTTTTGAGACGGAGTCTTGCTCTGTCGCCCAGGCTGGAGTGCAGTGGCATAATCTCGGCTCACTGCAACCTCCGCCTCCTGGGTTCACGCCATTATCCTGCCTCAGCCTCCTGAGTAGCTGGGACTATAGGCTCACGCCACCATGCCCAGCCAATTTTTAGTAGAAACAAAGTTTCACCTTGTTAGCCAGGATGGTCTCAATCTCCTGACCTCGTGATCCACCCGCCTCGGCCTCCCAAAGTGCTGGGATTACCGGCGTGAGCCACCGCGCCCGGCCTCTTTTTTATTTTTTTGAAAGTCTTTTACTCTCTTGCCCAGGCAATAGCATGTTCATGACTCACTGCAGCTTCAACCCCTCAGGCTCAAGTGATCCTCCTGCCTCAGCTCCCTGAGTAGCTGGGCCCACAGGCACACACCACCATGTTTTGCTAACTTTTACATTTTTTGTAGGGACGAGGTCTCACTGTGTTGCCCAAGCTGGTCTCAAACTGGTGGGCTCAGATGATCCTCCAGCCTCACCCTCCCAAAGTGTTGGGATTACAGGCATGAGCTACCATGCCCAGCCAAGGAAATTACATTGCAACATGAGATTTGGAGGGGACAAAACATCCAAACCATATTACATAGCATTGGATAATTTTCTGTTAATGTCTTCTGTCACCTTAAAAAGAAATTATAAGTATTGGCTGGGCAAAATGGACTTAAGTAAGCCTTTCCAATCTACATGAAATAATCAGAACATAGGGCCGAGTGCGGTGGCTCACGCCTGTAATCCCAGCACTTTGGGAGGCTGAGGCAGTTGGATCATCTGAGGTCAGGAGTTCAAGACCATCCTGGCCAACATGGTGAAACCTCGTCTACTAAAAATACAAAAATAAGTAGCTAGGCGTGGTGGCGGGCACCTATAATTCCAGCTACTCGGGAGGCTGAGGCAGGAAAATCGCTTGAACCCGGGAGGCAGAGGTTGCAGTGAGCCAAGATCATGCCACTACACTCCAGCCTGGGTGACAGAGTGAGACTCCATCTCAAAAAAAAAAAAAAAAAAAATTACAAGTATTATTCTGTATATATTGCTAGACCTTTAATTAAGTGAGCTTTGACATTGCAAGTTTTCTATCTAAGACCACACTAACATACAGACATAAAAAAATATACCCAGAATTGGGCTGGGCGCGGTGGCTTGCCTGAACACAGGAGGTGGAAGTTGCAGTGAACCAAGATGGTGCCACTGCACTCCAGCCTGGGCAGCAGAGCTATTAAGTTTTTTTCTGAGTATGTGCTACCTTTACTTTTGGTGGTGGAACCACGCATTGGAACTCAAACTCTTGAGTTTTACTCCTAACCTATAACAATCTGGTGCTTCATAATCAAATTCCCATTTGGAAAATGAAATTGTCTTCCCATTTGGGAGACTTCTGTTTTTCCTCAAACTAATTTTATAACCTATCAATCTGTTAACTAACATTAACTTTGTAAATTTTATGCAGAATACTGTCTAGGTAATATAGAGAATAAAGGAAGTAGATAGGCGCTCTTGCTCCCTCCATAGAAGTAACGCTCTATGTGATGACCACTAATTAATAACCTGTATTCTCCTGGTGATCCTGGGAACCAAAGTGGTTTCATAATGAGGATTTTTTTTAAATTAAATTTAGGCTTGAGGGATGGTGTTTGTTCTTTGTTCATGTGAGACAGTGTCTTGCTTTGTGACCCAGGCTGGAGTGCATGATCGAGGCTCACTGCAGCCTCGACATCCTAGACTCAAGCAATTCTCCCACCTCAACCTCAGGAGTAACTGGAGCTACAGGCACGTGCCACCACACCCAGATAATTTTTTTAATTTTTGTAGAGTTGGGGTCTTACTATGTTGCCTGGGAGGTCTGGCTTTTTAATAAAGAATCTTAGTCGTGAATAGAATATTTCCTTTCAATCCATTATATAAATGAATTTTAAAGGTGACTTTTTTTCTCCTCCCTTTTTTTTTTAGTTTAATACAATTTTTTAGTAAAATGAAGAAGTGGATGGACATGTCAAATCTACCACAAGAATTTCGTGAACGTATAGAAAGGCTAGAGAGAAATTTTGAGGTGTCTACTGTAATATTCAAAAAATATGAGCCAATTTTTTTAGATATATTTCAAAATCCATATGAAGAACCACCAAAGTTACCGCGAAGCCGGAAGCAGAGGTGAGCCCTTAATCCTTACATAATTGACAAAAAGATTATGATACAAACTAAGAGAATGTACTTTTTTGAAAGTCTGTTTTTTATGAAAAATATTCCTGCAAAGAGCTTAATTATTTTCTTTTTAAATCCATGTACAATTATCCATATTTGGAAATTCAGAATAATACTTTTACTTATTTTTCTTTTTTTTTTTTTTTTTTTTTTTTTTTGAGATGGAGTCTCGCTCTGCTGCCCAGGCTGGAGTGCAGTGTCGTGATCTCAGCTCACTGCAACCTCTGTCTCCCAGGTTCAAGCAATTCTCCTATCTCAGCCTCCTGAGTAGCTGGGATCACAGGTGTGCGCCACCCTGTCTGGCTGATTTTTTGTATTTTTAGTAGAGATGGGGTTTCACCGTGTTGGCCAAGATGGTCTCCAACTCATAACCTCAGGTGACCCACCCACCTCGATCTCCCAAAGTGCTGGGATTACAGACGTGAGCCACCGCACCTGGCCCTATGTTCTGATTATTTTATGTAGATTGTAAAGGCTTACTTAAGTCCATTTCATAAATAGTAGATAACTTTTCTTCATGAATGGAATTTCATGTGTAATTTGATCTATTTGATATTTGTATTTACTATTTCAGTTTACATGATATTTAGCAAGCTAGTCAGACAAAAAGTAATTTTTTTCCCTTTTTAGGAGGATTCCTTGCAGTGTTAAGGATCTGTTTAATTTCTGTTGGACACTTTTTGTTTATACTAAGGGTAAGATGACACTTTCAGTGGTCTTACATTTCTACTGTGGGAACTTGGTTCTATTTGACTTGAGAGGTTTCTGGTTTTTGTGTCTTTTCTTTTTTTTCCCCCCTTATAAAGGTAATTTTCGGATGATTGGGGATGACTTAGTAAACTCTTATCATTTACTTCTATGCTGCTTGGATCTGATTTTTGCCAATGCGATTATGTGCCCAAATAGACAAGACTTGCTAAATCCATCATTTAAAGGTAAGACCTTTTATTTATTTTTGAAAACTGATTATCAGTTTTTGGAAAAAGATTTTTGAAAGTTGACCATATTTTTTTTCCCCTCTGCTCTTCCTACACTGTCAAACTAGGTTTACCGTCTGATTTTCCTACTGCTGACTTTAGGGCTTCTGAAGAGCCGCCCTGCATCATTGCTGTACTGTGTGAACTGCATGATGGACTTCTAGTAGAAGCAAAAGGAATAAAGGAGCACTACTTTAAGCCATATATTTCAAAACTCTTTGACAGGAAGGTACTGTACTTATAATTAGATGACTGAGATGTTTACAGGTCAGCAGTAGTGTCAGAAGAAAAAAAAGTTTTAAGCAAGTTCTCAGCATTATAGAACTTAGGGTCAGGATTCCCAGGCTTTAGCCTCTACTGTGATTCGGAATTTCCTTATGATCTTGTGTGATGTGAGAAACAGAGCTGTTGAAAAATGTGACCAACTATATGTTCTGTTAGGTAAACATACTGTCAGAGGCAACCGTAGTCCCACCTATCAGGGACTGTGTAGGAGGTACTGATAAAGAATTGTAAAGAACAGAACATCAGAGTAGGGCTGACAAAGAATTAGGAAAAACAGGAAGTCAGAATAAGCTGACTAATTTACTGCCACAATTTGAATAACTGCTGACTGTTGACTAAAAGTCGGATGATGTATAACAACCACAGTTTTTTGTTTTTTGTTTTTTTGAGACGGAGTCTCGCTCTGTCACCCAGGCTGGAGTGCAGTGGCCAGATCTCAGCTCACTGCAAGCTCTGCCTCCCGGGTTTACGCCATTCTCCTGCCTCAGCCTCCCGAGTAGCTGGGACTACAGGCGCCTGCCACCTCGCTCGGCTAGGTTTTTTTTTTTTGTATTTTTTTAGTAGAGACGGGGTTTCACCGTATTAGCCAGGATAGTCTCGATCTCCTGACCTCGTGATCCGCCCGTCTCGGCCTCCCAAAATGCTGGGATTACAGGCTTGAGCCACCGCGCCCGGCCAACAACCACAGTTTTAATTCCATGTAAATCGAGCAGAAAATCCATGATAGTTTTGTAGCCACTTGTAAGCTATCTGTGTGCATTCTGGACATTTTCTCCTTAGTAATTAACTTAGCTATTTCTACATTTATGAATTGGCTTGTTCCTCTGGGTCTCAATTTCTTACTTCCCCAACATCAAGCCATTAAATGTAGTTAGGCCTCAAGATTTCTCTTTGGTAAAAGGAGGGGTTTGGATTACGTATCCCACTTTTCAAATATTAAGAGATTTTTCTTTAGGCATAAATTCTTCCCTTACTGGTTTCTTCTTCTTTTATGCAAACTTTTGTATTCAGTCTTGTGTTCCTCAGATATCTATATTATGGCCCATTGTCTGTATGCTAAACATCTCTAGCAAAGTAAACTTTTTTTAAAGGATCCCAGGGACTGGGCGAGGTGGCTCACGCCTGTAATGCCAACACCTTGGGAGGCCAAGGCAGGTGGATTGCTTGAGCCCAAGAGTTCCAGACGAGCCTGGGCAACATGGCAAAACCTCGTCTCTACAAACAATACAAAAATTAGTAGGGTGTGGTGGTGCACGCTTGTAGTCCCAGCTACTTGGCAGGCTGAGGCTGCAGTGAGCCATGATTGTACCACTGCACACTCGCACGGGTTTGACAGAACCAAACTGTCTCAAAAAAAAAAATTTTTTTTTAAATGTTATTTGCATGCTAAATAGTTTATCCTAGTCTGAAAGAAATATTTAATTATTCTGTTTTGTGTGTGTGTGTTATAAAAATGGAAATTTAGATAAATTTCATGTTTGTGTGTGTATTAATAGCTTAATTAATATGTGTCCCAAAATAATTTTTTTTCTTCACAGATAATTAAAGGAGAATGCCCTCCTGGACCTTTCAGTTTTACTGATAATAGGTAAATATCTGGTACTAGTGGTGCTGGCATATCACAAGCTGTCGTGATTTGTTGGGATTTGTTGAAAGATTTGTTAAATGCATAACATTAATAT